CGGCGACAGCGACCGCGAGATGTCGCCGAGGGGCCCGAGGGGGCCGACGGCGCCAATCCCCGGCGGGGCGTGCTGGATGGACCACGAGTAGCCCGACGCGGCGGGGGTGGCGCCCGCCGCGGCGCCTCCCAACTGGAACACGGCGGAGGACGTCATCGCGTCGCCGGCATGACGTCACCCTGGAGGAACAAGGACAGCATCAGAACCACGAATCAGCCCGCGGACTCATTCCGAGTGTCGTTTTCGTCGCTCTGTCTCCCTCGCGCCTACAGAGGACGCCCTATGAGTGTGAGAGAGACAGAGCGACGAAAACGACTCTCGGAATCAGTGTTCTGCAGCAGCGCTGCCGCGGCGCAGCCTTGATCTGAGTCTCTTCTGCATCGCCGGCGCGCCGCCGCTTCCGACAACCCACGCAACTTGTCTGCTCGTCCTACTTGGCGTGCCGCTGCCGCCCGATCGCGGGCAGATACGGCCGTCTTGGCGCGCCGATGAGATGCACCTGTAGAGCGACCCGACGACGTGTCACTGCTACGTCTCTGTCTCTCTCGCACTCCGACGGTTCGGCCCGCGAGTGCGAGAGAGACAGAGACACAGACGCCGCGCAGCAGCGCCTCGATGTGTATCACACTGTACTTTTGTGGTGGTGCAACCACTGGTGTAAATCAACTCAGAAATTTTCTGATAAACGGTGGATTTTCTGATAACTTGACAAAAAAACATCAGATTTCGATTATTTTCTGATAACATCAATGATTTATCAGAAAGAGGTCATCAGAAAAAGTTTTTTCTGATACTTTCATATGTTATCAGAATAGAGACATCAGAAAAAGTGTCCTTTCTGATAAGTCGATCTGATTTCTGGTAACTGCTAGTTATCAGAAATATAATCGTCAGAAATGTTTTAGATGTCTGATGTTCAAAAAATGAGATCCCTGTAAAATAGAAAGTTTACGTAATTTCAATTTCAAATTTGGTGAGTGTCTTGTTTGCAAGATTTGGCTAGGCCAGTTTTTATCTCAATGAGATCGGATCACATTTACTGTCTTTTTGAGAGTTGATGGCGAGCTAGCTCAATTTGGACTGCAGATTTGGATCGGACTCGGTTTCGACCCCCTCAAGACGTTTTCCCCGTTTCCGAGTCTCATGTAGATCAAAATATATATTTACAGAAGAAAATGATTGTTCTGATATATTTCTTTATGAGTCCAGCCGATGTTATCAGAACTAAAGTCATCAGAAAATTGAGGCATCAGAAACACAAACATCAGAAAGAGGTGTCCGAAAAAACATCAGAACTCAGACATGAGAAATGTTCTGATATGCAAAAGTATCAGAAAATTTCTGAGTTGATTTACACCAGTGACGATGACGCATCGCGCCCGGCATATCGAGCAGTGTGCCGCCGACCCGTCGATTTGATATTCCACCACCCGCACTTCTTTTTATTAGCTCTGTCTCTCTCGCACTCGTTGTGCCCTACGGGTGGCGCAGGGACAGCGAGGAGCGAAGGAATCACTCGACTGAGGCCCGAGGCGCGTCCCCGGGGTGATGATGGCACTTACGGTCGCCGATAACTGCATCTCTAGATTATGCCCCACGCGTCCTTGTCACGCCTATACTGGTACAGACACATCACTATTTTTCTGAGAGCGCAGACGAAGATGATTCCTTTCTGGTTAGTCAAAGCAAGGTGACGGCGATGAAAAATTCCTCTGAAAACGCGCACGACAAACTGCAGCGTTTCTTCGCCGCCGGCGACTGGGGACTGGGTCGTCAGGTGACGAAAGCTGCCGCGTTTTCGATCGTCGAAACTGATTCCGAGAGTCGTTTTCGTCGCTCTGTCTCTCTCGCACTCATGGGGCGTCCCTTACAGGTGCGAGAGACAGGGCGACGAAATTCGGAATCAGTCTGCTGGCGCTGCCGGCTCGGCCGACTTCGGCACGCACTACTTTGCTGAGGCCAGCACGGCGCCAATGCCGCCGACGCGTCCCTCGCGGTGTTCATGGCCAAGGCCGCCATCGCCACCGCCGCGGACAGCACCGCCACACCACTGGCGCGCACTGCACGGACATGCCCGGGCTCTATTTTCGGAGCGTGCGTAATGGGTGATTCCCTGAAGGAGGAACTGAGGAGCGGCGCCGGCTCGACTCGTGCTGCGCCGAGGCGGCCGAAGCCGGTAGTTAGAGAGAGAACGATAGTCGCGGCTCGACGGAGACTTAAACGCGGGACGTGCCAACAAGGACCTAAAGCGGCGAGGACACTGCTAATCGCAGCATCGTTTCGTTACTTTGTCGAACACCTGGCATTGGTATCGAATCCGGGATATCCGCGACGAACGCGCGGGCCCACCAGCACACACGCGGCTACAGGATGCGGTTTGCACTCTACAGTGTTGCGCACTTAGCAGTATCCGTCACAATGCGTTGCCCTAGGGCATGCAGAAGTTTTCAGCCCGTTCGACACTGGTACATCTTGAGGTTTGCCTAAATGTGCGGTGACACTGCCACACTGATGCCCTTGGCGACGACGACTTGCCGCCCCGGGCGTGCCCTGGCGTACCCGGGCGTACCAGGGCGTACCCGGGCGTACCAGGGCGTACCCGGGCGTACCCGGGCGTACCTGGGCGTACCTGGGCGTACCTGGAGTCAGGCTGTCCTCGCGGAGGTCCTTCCGGACGACGGCCGCGCGCTGCTCGCGGCACTTGGCGCGGACTGGCGGTCGCGGCGCCGAGGTCCGCGGTGCGTCTCCGTCTCGCGAGGCGGCCCGCGGCTCAGGATCTGGAAGACTGACACCGCCTCGCCGGGAGCGACTGGAGCGGCCAGTCCGGGGGGCGCGGCCGCGGCGCGCTCCGCGTCTAGGCTCCAGCTACTCGGTTCCAGACAGCGCCGACGGCAGCGGCCCCCTCCTCCCCTCCCCCCCCCCACCACCACGACGGACGCCCTCTGGGTGCCTTATGGGGGTTTTAAAACTTGAGTCTTTCCGCGCTCGTTCATTGCAACCGAGTCGACACAATGGGGGCGGCCGGCACAACCATTCCGAACACCGCCTCATCGCCCTGTCTCTCTCGCACCCCCACGGGACACGGGACGCCCCGACGAGTGCGAGAGAGACAGAAGCGTCGAGAGCAGTGTTCGGAGTTCAACGAAGTTCTAGGCGGCGTGCGTGAGCCAGGCCAGCCGGGCCGACCACAGGTCGCAAGAATTATCTGCAGGTATGTTGGCGTTTGTTTTTGAGCACAGGGGTGCCGAATACGGAGGAGATGTATATCAGTTGACCTCCCCTATTGTCAAAGACAGAAATATTTCATAAATTTTCTCCTGGAAAACCCTTTTTTGCATTATTGCTGCATTGCGGCTAACGAAAGTCCAAGCAACCCTCTGTCTCGAATCATCTGCCAAATTATTTTTTCCTATTCTTTGCAATGGATGGATGGTGTAAAGGTGCGAGTCGCAACGCTGACGTCCCTTTCGCCTGACGATTGCAGTGACACGGCCTGCATTGCAGGGATTAGGGGCATTGTCTGCGTGGCCTAGCGCCGCCTGGCGTGGACGGCCGAAGACCGGCGTGGCATTGATGCCCTCGCCCAGGATCGACCCGCGAGTGACGGACGAACGCGGCGTGGCGTGGCGGGGCGTGGCGGGGTGTGGCGGGGTGGGGTGGGGCGTGGTGGGGCGTGGCGCAACGCCCGCGCACAATGAGAGCATCGTCAAAACGGCGCCCTGCACGGCCACGACGACGACAGCGCGGCCGGCTTCCGCGATGGAAGAAGGTGCGCGAAAAGGAGGCGCGAGTCCGCGAAGACATTTAGTGCGAGATCAGGAGCCAGTGCCAGTGCCTTCCTTCCTGCCTTCCGGGTGTTGCTCGTTTCGATTCGCTGAAGTCGATCTGGAGTCTGCCTAGAGTCTGCCTGGATTCTGCCTGGAGTCTGCCTGGAGTCTGCCTGGAGTCTGCCTGGAGTCTGCCTGGAGTCTGCCTGGAGTCTGCCTGGAGTCTTCCTGGCGTCTTCCTGGCGTCCACCTGGAGTCTGCCTGGAGTCTGTCAGGAGTCTGCCTGGAGTCTGCCTGGGGACTGCCTGGAGTCTAATAGGAGTCTGACTGGAGTCTGCCTGGAGTCTGCCTGGAGTCTGCCTGGAGTCTACTTGGCGTCTTCCTGGCGTCCGCCTGGAGTCCAGCGGGGCTGCTCGTTAGCGCGGACCGCAGCGCGTTGTGCAAGGCGTCGTGGCGGTGACGGACGCGGTGACGCCCGGCGGCCCGGCGAGTCAAAATAACAAAATGCCGAATGGCGTGGCTGGCTGGTGGTTCGCGGCGAGCCATTTCGGCGCCCGAAATGGGGGCCTGACGGCCAGGCCTTTGGGGTCCAGACCTTCAGCGCCTTGCTTCGGGGCCGCCAGATGAGGCCGCCGTCGGCCGGCCGGTGTTCGGCAGTGTTAGGGCCTCGCTCGACCTCTCCGGGGCACAACGCAGCACAAGGGCGCGCGTGGCGCCAAACTACCGACCGTCCTGCGGATTGATTGAAAAGGGCGTGAAAGGCAAGGCGGCGAGATTGCCGTGTATTTCAGCGTTGCAGTGTACGACAGCGGGCTTTGCTTCGCCTCGAAGCGGGTGGTTGTAAATCAAGACCTCCGTCAGCTTCGGCGCGCGCCGAGTGTGAACCTTGAACCCCTTCCCTTGCTGCCGCGGCCGCGGGCTGCCGCACAACAAGTACGACAAAAAGAAAAGCAATTTATTTCTGTGAGTATCGGTGAGCAACTGTGAGCGACGGGAGAAATGTCAGTCAGGCCGCGGCTTGGCGAATCCATTTTGAATTTTCGCGCGCTAAATGTCAAAAAGCGGCGGGCTGGCCGCGCGGCGTCACGGTGCGGTACGTGTGTGTTGGGCAACGCGCCGCGCTTGCAGTGCAGCGGCAGGCCAGCCGCGGCGGCGGCGCGGTCAGAGTTAGGGCTTGGATGTGGCTGTCGGGGAAGTGGGTGGGTCTGCATCCGGAACGGCCACTAGCAGGCATCCTTCTCAGCGCAATTTATTGACAGTGGTAAAGGACGCTATCACAATGGAAACAACAGCATTTTTCATCTTTTTAAACCAAGCGGAGTTTTTGCGATCGCGACATACAGCAACACAACAAGAGTAGTAGATGTTATGACCCTTCACATGTCTCGTTCCCATCCCACGTTTGTGCTGAATGAGAATCAGAAAAAAAAACAGAAGTACTACTGTTGCAATAATGCAACCAGTACTTCACGGTGGACGCTCTAAAAATTGCGGTGTACTATGACTCATTAGATTTTTAAAATTACGTTTATTTAATACCCGTTGGAAAGCAAATTAGTTATGTACCCTGTGCAAACTCTCTAACAGAATAAAACTGAGGCAATGTCAGGAAGAATAAAAACACGCGTGCCTGAAAAATAACACTGCACTGCAAACTGTGGTTCCAGAGCACTTCCAGTTTAACTACAGTAGTTCCATGGCAACTGATACTCGTCTGACTTAAAGCTACAACCATAACTATCACACTCTCACACGCACTCAGATCACAAAGCTTCTGTAATAACTATACCTAACGAAAATTACTACAAAAATAAATAAGCGATGCTAATGAATGACACTATGGCTGTGTCGAGGTAGGAATCATTCGTTGTTGGACGCAGTCTTTCATTCCCGCCACCGTGTGGCGCTTCTCGTACGCTAACAACAAAATAAATACAGCAAAGGCGGCGCGTGCTTTGTACTACACTGTACTACACCCTAGTCGTCGTCGTCGTCGTCCTCGGGCTCCCCGTCGTCCGCCCAGCCCGGACGCCCCCAGTGCGCGGCGCTCCACAGGCTGAGCACGGCGTGCATCTCCGCGCGGTACCGAGCCTCCCAGTCTAGGTCCGCGTCGAGGCCGAGGCCGGGGTCGACGTCAACGGCCGCGCACACCCTGCGCACCTCCACGTCGACGAGGCCGTGGCGGTGGCCGTGGCCTTTAGAAACGGTCCACTGGGTCCCGAAACACGATCGAGTCCCCGGGGCCCGTGCCGGAAAACCCCGAGCCAGAGGGCCCCGACGCCGAGGGCCCCGAGCCGGAGCCGTGGTGCTGCTGGTGGTACGAGGACGGCTGCTGGGTGTTGGCGCCGGGCCGGGGGTGTGGCGTGTACTGGGAGAAGCCGTAGCCGTGGTGGCTGTGCAGGGCGTCGTGCAGCCCGGACGGCCCATACGAGGGCTGCGTCGACCCGAAGTACATCGACGACGAGCTGCCGAAGCCGGACGGCGAGAGGCCGCCGTACGCCGCGGAGGGCGGCCGGAACAGCGGGCCGCCCGTGTCCACCTCCACCAGGTTGTCCAGCGGGCCGCCCGGCACGGCGCAGGACGTGCCCGCCACCAGGTCCGCGATGGGCGCCACCAGCACGCGGTAGTTGACCTCGTCGGGGCGCTCGCGGCCCACCATCACGTTCTGGAAGCGCGAGCTCAGCATCCACACGTGCCTGCCGATCACCTTGAGGCCGCTGGCGAACTGCATCGTCTTGTCGTCCTTCGCCACGATGTGCAGGTTGGGCGACACGTAGGGCAGGCGCGTGTTCCAGCACGCCAGGGCGTTCTCGGACAGCAGCCCGAAGAACAGCACGCCGTTCGCGTCCACGCCCTGCACAGGCACAACAAGGGGTGAGACTAGGGTTGCCACTCGTCTTGAAAAAGCTGTGATGACAAGCAGTGGCGTAGCAAGCACCGGGTCAGAGGGTCAGCTGACACCCCCCCCCCCCTTTTGAGCTGCCCCGGGTCAATCCCCTGCGAGGTAGGCATCATGCAATACATAGACCCCCCAACTTTTTTGACGTTCCTACGCGCCTGCACAAGCGATTCTCTGCTCTTACCTCTGCGCCTGCCTGCGACGTCCTCCGCGGCTCCGACACGTGGAACAGCCTGGACACGGCGGGGATGGGCTCGTCGGCGAAGTTGGACTGGTTGCGCAGCACGCGGGTCGACACCCAGGACTCGCGCACGCTGGCCAGGCTGTGGAAGAAGAGGCGGCGGTCGCCGTCCGGCATGACGGGGCCCACGGCCATGCCGAACACGCCGTCCATCAGGTCGAACTCGGCGCCGTTGATCTTGAAGCTGCCGTGCAGCGGGTACGGGTACAGCAGGTTGCTCAGGACGCGCCACGACCTGCGAAGCGAAGGTCAGTCCGAATCACGACAAAAGTTATCATTTTCAATTTACCTGCAGTGCAGGTCGGCATGCCTCACTCCAGCTCCGCTTTGAGGCCCCCACTCCCCTCCCTACTTTCGCAGCCTCCGCCTGGGCAGTGCGTCCCCTTCCTCAGCCGTGCCGGTTGGGCTGCCTACTCGCCGGGCGCAGGACTGCCGCTCGCCTCCTCCAGGGTCCAGTGGCGGATCCAGATTCGGCCCAAGGGGGGGGCAAAGTAGCACTTTTTGCCTACTTACAGGGGCAAATTGGTGCTTTTTGCCTTCCTTTCAGGCGGCTATCTAGGGGTCCAAGGGGGGGGGGGGGCAATTGTCCTTTTGCCCCCCTCCCCGAGGGTCGCCGCATAGGTAGGCGAGTTCTTTCCCTCCCCAATTTACCCCTAACTTTTTGCCAACTCATGTTGCAACACTGAATTACTCACCGATTCCTGCGCATGTCGTACACCAGGATGGCGGGCTCGGTGACGTCGGCCACGTAGGCGAAGGCGTCCCTGCAGCTGTCCGGGCCGCGCACGTCCACGGCCACGGTGATGGTGAGGGTGGTGGGCTCGCGCTGCTCCTTGGGGAACGTGTACCGCGCCACCACCTCGGCGCCGTCCCGGCCGCGCAGGTCGAACACCACCAGCTTGGGCGGGCACACGCGGTCCGCGCCCGCGAACACGTTCACCGTGCCCGAGTCCAGCACCCACAGCCTGCCGCACTGGTCCACCTGCGCGGGGAAGGGAAACAGACTAGGTGACCGGTGCGTCCTGTCTCCCTCGTTCCAACCCCACCAACGTCGTCCTCGCCCTCACCGAGGTCCTGAAGACGGAGATGAGGTTGTCGCAGTCGCCCTGCTCGTTCCAGGCCCAGCTGGGGAAGGGCCGCAGCTTGGGCGACACGATGGACTCCTCGATGGACAGCTCAGACAGCGTGGCGGGCACGCCGGGCTTCAACCGCGGCGTGGTCACGAAGATGCGCTGGTGCTTGCCTGGATAGAAAGGGGTGTGGGTGTGAGCGGGGGAGGCGGGGCAGCGGGCAGCGGCTCAGGACAAGAGGAAACCGAGGAAACGGAGCGGCGATGGCCTGACAGGTAGCAGACTGAGTCGCAGACGGGGTCACGGTGGCAGGGGGAGAGGGGGGGGGACACGGCGACGCTTGTGGTCGCCGCGGCGCGGTCACGCAGAACGCACTGCCGTCAACAGCTTTGGCCTCTAGGCGCACGGTCGCGACCAGAACAATTCGAGTGTCGGTGAGGCCGCGCATCTCGTCCGTTCGGACATTTCGAGTGGAAGTGGAGGGGGCAATGCGCCGCCGCGGACCGGCGCAGGGACCGGCAGTTGAAAAAGCCGACGCCGCCAACGGTCTCGACTGCAGTTCGCGAATTTCTTTTGTCTTTCCTGCAGGAAGAGGCCCTCGTTGTGCGGCGCGCGCACCAACCCCGCGAACCGCGTTTCTTCCTGCGAACGGAACGGCGTGAAAGGGCGTCGTCGGGCAGCCAGTCACCCATGGTGGCGGCACAGTGCGGCCTTTCTCCCGTGCCGCACAGTGGGCCAGAAGACCGGTGGAGGCGGCCAAAACTCTAGACGTGTTGTGAGCTCCAGAGTCGCTATATGGGACTCGAATCGACCCCACCAATGGATTCCTCGTTCGGAGAGCAATCCATTGGTGGGGTCACACGTTCGCTTCGAGTCCCATTTAGCGACTCTGGAGATCAAAACGCGTCTAGAGTTTTGGCCGCCTCCACCGGTCTTCTGGCCCACTGTGTGCCGCCCGATTCCGCAGGACGTTGCGTCGCTCTGTCTCTGTCGCACTCATGGGGCGGTCCGTAGGGATACGATGACAGGCCGACGACGCGATCTTCGGGATCGGGTGGCTGGACGCCGGAGAAAAGGACGCCGTCGACGACCTGGACGGACTCCGCCAGAAAGACCCGCCCGCCGACGCCGACACAGTGCTTTCGTCGCTCTGTCTCTCTCGCTCCGAAGAGGCGTTCCGTTAGGGTGCGAGAGAGACGGAGGCGCTGACGCCGCGGGCGCGGTGATCGGCGACGCGACGCAGCGCCGTGTTTTAGCGGCATTGACCAGGAACAGGAAACGCGATGCGTAGCCTTCGAGATGAGCGAGCACTTGCCGCGGCAAAGCCAGGCGAAGCCCTCCGCCACTCCAGATTGCTGTAGGGCTGGAGGCTGGGCTCGGCCAGCAGACGGAGTCCGAGAATCGTTTTCGTCGCTCTGTCTGTCTCTCTAGCTCTCATGTACCGCCCCCGGAGGTGCGAGGGAGACAGAGCGACGAAAACGACTCTCGGAATCAGTCTGCAGGACTAAGGGCATCCGGCAGGCCGTGGCAGAATCACTGAGAGTCACTCCGAATCGCTTCCACCTGCCGCCGTCCGCGGCGGAAGCAGCAGAACGACGTACTGCCATTAGTCGCCATTAGTTCATCAATTAGTTAATGATTCCTGAAACTGGACGCAGCTGGCGCGCAGGCAGGACGACAGCGACGCAGCAGTTTACGCGGCCAGTGAAAACTAGAAGCGCTGTTTGACGCGACAGCTAGTACTGTATTGACGGCCCTCTGACCGGTCAGCAGTTTAGTCGCAAACTACTGTTTTTGAAGCCCGCCTGTCTGTTTTTGTCCGTCCGCTGCCTTTCTTCGCCGAGGTGGTGGGTCAGCAAGCTCGACCGGGCCGGTGGGGGCGGCGGTCTGTCTGTCTGTCTGTCTGTCTGTCTGTCTGCCTGTCTGTCTGTGCGTCGCGGCGCAGCAGTAGCAGTGCAGCCGCCAGCAACGGCTATGAGAAATTTGTACCAGAGTGTGCAAACTTATCCACATATACATTTATTGAGATTTTGGGGGTCCATATCTCGTAAATGGCTTGAGATAAAAAAGTTATGAACATTATAACTTAAATTTCAAATTAAATTTACACTATCCAATTAAAGTTAAGTTACCCAGTGCCTCACACATTTTTATCCCCAGCCGTTCAAGAAATAAAACTCAAAAATTCGCAAACAAAATGTTAAGTTTTTACGCTTTGCGCTAGCGGCTGGAAGCAGGCCACGGGGCCGCAATGTCCCCGGTGGCGCTCCGATAACGATGACTCGTCTTCAGGCCCGGGCCGCCTAATCGCACCGAGACCGGTGTGCAGTGTGCCGGCCGTTCAGGCCGCCGCGTTGCCATGTGGGAAGTTCCCCCGCGACTCCGTGACATGGCTCGGCCGGCCGGCCACGGCGACATGTCGGCAGCCGTCCGTCTCGGCGTCGCGGTTGTACTTTACTTTACGGCCGGCTGCTCGCCCCGTGGGCCCTGTAGGCCCTCTGCAGACTGATTCCGAGAGTCGTTTTCGTCTCTCTGTCCCTTTCGAACTTCCCCAGTAGGTGTGGGAGAGACAGGGCGATGGAAACGACTCTCGGAATCAGTCTGCTGGCTCGGCGGCTCGGCGTCGCACAGTGGGCCAGAAGACCGGTGGAGGCGGCCAAAACTCTAGACGCGTTTTGAGCTCCAGAGTCGCTAAGCAGGACTCGAACCGAAAGTGAGACCCCACCAATGGATTGCTCTACGAACGAGGAATCCATTGGTGGGGTCACACGTTCTGTTCGAGCCCTGTTTAGCGACTCTGGAGCTCAAAACGCGTCTAGAGTTTTGGCCGCCTCCACCGGTCTTCTGGCCCACTGTGCGTCGGCTCGCTTGGAGGCGCCGTGGCGCCCAGGCCCGCTGCTAAGTGGAACGGAACGATATTACCGCGGCGACTCGCCGCCTGAAAAACGAGCCGCCGGCTTTTGCTTTCGTCGCCGGTTAATAATAATTGCCGACTTTTTGTTTTCGGCAAAAACATTTTCTAATGGCGGAATTTTCTGAGTCATCAGTCACATGTTTGTTGAAAGCGCAAGGTTTGCAGGGGTCTGACATGCGATGTAATGATGATGATGAAGATGATGCGGGCTCCTTGCCGTTCCCTCACCTTCTCCGTAAGCGTCGACGTCCAGGACGACCACGTTCTTGGGCACGAACTCGCCCGTGAGGATGGCCGACTCCCGCACCACCCTGCTCGGGTACACGAAGTCCACGGTGCGCCACTCGGCCACCACCTCCATGCCGCGGCGGCCCTGCGCCCCCAGGGCCCCCAGGCCGGGCAGCAGGGTGGCCGAGCAGGACGCCGCCAGCCACAGCAGCGTCGCAACGGCGGCCAACCTGCCGAACACACGAGAAGAGCATTGCAGTCGAACGAGCAAAGTGGCGGTCGCCGATCTCCACGCGTCACCGTGGCGGACCGGACTTTTGGGAACAGGAAGAAGAGCGTCTTCGTGACGTAAGGGGCGGCATGTGTCGTACCGCCGCGACGGTCACGTCGCCGTCGTGGTCGTGGTCGCCGTCACGTTGGCCAACGCGGCCCTCTTGCCGGCCACACGTGCGCCGCGCCGCTGGGGCTGCCGCAGGCTGCCGGCGCCACCATGACTGGCACATGTGTTGTTGTTATTGTTGGCACCCCTGCCGATCGCCAACCCCCGAAGAAACCGGAAGTGCCGCGGCGGGGCGCGCTGAGCTTTCGCTTCCATTCACTCGTTCATTCATTGATTCATTCATTCTTCGAGTCATCGGCTTTGCTTTGCCACCCACAGTGGGCCAGAAGACAGGTGGAGGCGGCTAAAACGCTAGACGCGTTTTGATCTCCAGAGTCGCTAAATGGGACCCGAACCGAACGTGTGACCCTACCAATGGATTGCTCCCCGAACGAGGAATCCATTGGTAGGGTCACACGTTCGATTCGAGTCCCATTTAGTGACTCTGGAGCTCAAAAGACGTCTAGAGTTTTGGCCGCCTCCACCGGTCTTCTCGCCCACTGTGCCACCCCAGCCTCGGTTTCATGTCGGGCGTTGACTTCCGTTCGTGGAACATGCATGGAACGCCGGCCGGGTCGAGGGGCGCTCTACTTACAGTGGGCCCGTTCGGTCGAAAGGAATCGGGACTATGGAAAGCAGGGGAGCCGGGTGCGCCCTCTGCACCTTGGTCCCAGACAGAGCTACCGTCGCTCTGTCCCTCTCGCACCCCTGCGGGATGCCCGCGAGTGCGAGAGAGACAGAGCGACGAAAGCACTTCGGGATCAAACGGCGGCCTTTCCTTCGGACTCCGGGATTACCTAAAGCTCCACCTCGTCATCCTCCGCCCTGGAATGCCAAGGCTAGCCAAGGCCCTCTCAGACTTTTCGTGTCTGACGCTGGTGCGGCTCAGCCAGCTTCACGACGGGCTAGACCACGCCCCTGCGTTGCTTGGGGACCAGTCCGCTTCTCTCCAGAACGAACACACCCTCCAGTAGACTGACTCCCAGAGTCGCTCCATCTCCCTCGCACCCGAACGGGCCGGCCCATGAGTGCGAGAGAGACAGAGCGACGAAAACGACTCTCGGCGTCAGTCTGCTGCACTCGCTCCGGCGTGCATACCGGCCGGCAAGTTTGTGTACGCGCGGGAATTACAATTTAGTTGGCGCAGCCGCCGCCAAGCGCACGCAGGCAATAAGCTGTCGAAAAAAAATCAGTTGGCCAACACACTTGTTTCTTAATTAATTTTTTACACAGGCGCTCGTTGTGTATTCGGCGTCTCGTTTCCACACCCCGCCAGAGTCACCTTGCACCTCGCCTGCGTGAGTGAGCAGAGCAAGGTGAAGTGCAGCCGCCACTACACTGGCTGGGCCCGCCCGGCCGCGGCTCGCACGTAACAAGTAAACATTCTGCGAGTGTTGGCGAAAATGCGCGGTCGTTCCCGCCGCCACTTCGCTCCCAAGACGCTCGCTCGCTGGCGCGCGTGCCAGCGGCAGCAAGGAGACCGATTCCGAGAGTCGTTCTCGCCGCGCTGTCTCTCTCGCGCCTGAACGGCACGCGTCATGCGTGCGAGAGAGACAGAGCGATGAAAACGGCTCTCGGAATCAGTCTGCAGAGGCTGCTGAATGAAACCGGTGGACACGCACGCACGCGCACGCTGCACTGCACACAGCGGCTTTTACAGTGGCACACGCCCGCGGACACCAATACACGAACACGCGCGCTCGCGCCACTGGAGCGTGAAGCGCCCGGCCAGGGCGGTGACTCCATCACCGACTTTGGAAACGGTCCAAAACTGTCTCAGACTGTCGCAGCTGTAGCGGCCGGTGCAGACAGCCAAGTCCAGCGGTCCATCGGCAGGCCGGCCTCGAAGTCGAAGCCTCGAACGACGCAGGCTGCGTTTGTGTCATGACACAAATCCACCGCCTTTGTTTTGATTGGGGCGAGCCCCTTTTCGGCTCGGCCGCCTTTCTGCCCCGACGAACCCCTTACCTCGGCGGGATCATGCTGCTGACGATGCGGCCGCTGCTCTTGGAGTGCGTCGTGCTCGCCGCCCGGCCAGGCGGTGCCTCTGCCGGTCGAGGGTTGCGGCCTTGCGGGTCGAGGTATCGAACGCGACTGCGACCGGCGGTCGTATCGAGTCGAAGCGCGGCCACCGCGCGCGCACTGCACTGGCCGCGGTCGTGACGGTCCTCACGGCAGGGCGACCGGCGGGATTTTGAGCCGCTTGCCTTCGCGCTTCGCGCCTGGAGTCCTCGAGGTGCGAGCGGCCGCCCCGGCCCCGGCGGTGCCCCCCGGAGAGCCGGACGACGCGGAGGGTGTGGCGGCCTGGTGGGGGCTCGTCTCGTCGCCGCGTTCGACGCACTGCAGGCTGAGTGGGAGCTCACGGAGTGAGAGAGACAGACCGACGAAAGCACTCTGCTGGCGGTGGCGGTCAACCACTGCGGCCGTCGACGTCGACTGATGTACCCGCCACGCCACGCCGGGCAGCACTGCGCCCCTTCCCTTGAGGAGCGGTACCTGGACGACGGCCCGCAGCGAGGCTATAGCGAGGCCGCCCCCACCCCCGCCCTGAGTTTGAGTTGGTTTGAGTCACGACCAGTTCGGGGAAGTCCAGGCTCGCCGACAAACGCCGCCGAAATTAGCTGAACGCCGCGGGCCGCGGTAACTAATACCAGTGCCGGGGCCGAGCACGAGCACTGCTCTCGTCAGCCTGTCTCTCTCGCACTCATGGGGCGTCCCTTAAGGGTGGGAGAGAGATAAGCCGACGAGAGCCGTGCTCGGAATGGGTCTGCGTGGCCAGGCGGGGCACAATGGGCCAGAAGAACAGTGGAGGCGGCCAAAATTCTAGACGCGTTTTGAGCTCCTGCGTCGCTGAACTGGAATCGAACCGAACGTGTGACCCCCGAGCAATCCATTGGTGGGGGTCACACGTTAGGTTCGAGTCCCATTTAGCGACTCTGGAGCTCAAAACGCGTCTAGAGTTTTGGCCGCCTCCACCGGTCTTCTGGCCCACTGTGCGGGGGCACGTGGCGGTCGTTGAATGGCAGGACGGTCACGGAGTGCATTAGGAAGCCCGCTCGTTTTCATGCCGCACGGCCGGACGCCGCTGATGCGTTTGTTGACGCTGGGCTTGCCGCCGTCGCTCAATACCGTCGCCCGGAGGGTTCAACTCCCTCGACGGTGTGCCTCCTCGCTCGGCATGACGCGCCCGCAATTAAGAGGAGAAGCGACCGCGGCGGAGGCGGGTACAGTTTTGATGCCCGCCTTCCTGCCGAATCCGAATCCGGCGGCGGGCGACAGTCGTGCGGCGTTCAGACTGTCATTTACCGCTCCGCTGCAGCCCTGTGAGTGTGAGCGTGTGTGTGTGTATGTGCGCGTGTGCGTGTGGGCAGGTATTTCCTCCAGCGTCACGCGGGCAGGACGCGGCGGGCTCGCGTCGCGCTGCGTAGGTTCCGTGTACTTAGCGCCTTTTGTCGCCTTTGGAAAAACCACGGTTCTCCCGGTGACTCCCATGAGCAAACGGAGCAAGCTTCCGTTGGACGTGTCGCTAGGCGGTTCCTGCGGCTGCTTTCCGCCGCTAAAGTTTCCGAAATGGGAGAAATTAGCCAGAGTGAGAATTGTTTCGTCTCACTGCGATTTGCGATGATGACGGAGGCTTTCCTCTGTTTGACAGCGGCGTGGTGATGTACTTTTTGCCATTCTCGGCCAGCGTCTCGGCGTTCCAGACATTCCCCGAGATCTTCCAGGAGCGAGCGAGTGCACCGCTCAGCGGTCGAAGTCCTCCTGCCCGACGATCGGCTCGCCAACTTTGCCCTCATGCATCGCATTTAATTTCAGACATTCTGTAATTCCAAACAGCTCGATGACGAAGCAGAATCGTAAAACGAGAACGTCGTCCTTCGTGGTGCGCAGGACGGCCGACGACGCGAGCGCTAGTTTCGCCGTGGAGGTAGGCCACCCATCGGCCGCCGGAGCGCGCTAGGCCGCTATCGCCGCCCGGGCCGCCCCGCCCCGGACACCGCGTGCACCGTGGTAACGCCACTGTAACGACGAGCACGTCGTCGTCCTCCTCCTCCTCGTCGCGGTGCTCGACTTCACGACATCAGCAGCGGCCGCAGAACGCGTCCGGATAGTTGCACGACGCGCGCCCAGAGGCCGTTCTTGGGGGGAACCGCCTGCTTCGCCAGGTCCTGGCTCCTGCGCAGACACACCGAAAGTTTTAATGTGAATGTGGTTTCCCGCCGCGCAGTGTGCCACCATGAGTAGGTGAACATCCTCGCTATGCACCTCAGCCCACCGCAGCTTGCCTGCTAGGCAAAGTCTGGCCTTGGCTGGCTTGCTCGGGTTGGCAACCCCTTGGACACTGATGCATAGCGGGAATTTTCGCCTACTTATGTGGCTGGCTACACTGCTACCGCGCGAGGACGAGGATAGCAGCGCTGTCGGCTGCTCACTCCATGGCCGGTTTCTGCGGGGGCGCGTCGCCGCCGGCCGCTCCCCCGACGTCACCCTCGCCGAGGCCGCGCCGGGCCGCCGCCCCCTCCACCAGGGAGAGGGTCTCCAGGGAGGGCAGCGCGGCCACGGCCGTCGGCTTGCCGCCGACGCTGCAGTGCCCCAGGACCACCCTCAGCTTCCTGCTCATGATCACGTCCACCGGGATGACGCGGCTGCAGCCGCCCTCGTTGATGGTCACCGTGGCGCCGGAAGGACACTGTACAGAAACGAGGATTTGTGAGGCTCCCCTCCCAAATGTATGACCGAAGAGGAACGCCTTTTTGACAGTCAAGTCTTTCATGTCTGGAACAGGCTGTGGCCTTACGTCTGTGCTGCTGTTTCTCCGTTTCAAAGGCCTCGGCGACGGCGCGCCCGGCCCCCTCGCCACCGTGGAGGGCGTGGCCGTCGTCGTCGTGGTGGACAGGAGGCCGTCACCCACTTTGACTCCGTGGCGCGTGCGCACCATGGCGTCGCTGCTGCCGCGAGCTCTGCTCAGATCGTCCGTAGAAATGAATGGATAAAAGCCGCGGCCGAGTGAACTCAACAAGAGGACCGTTTTCCCTATGCGCATTGTTGGCGTTGCGATGTCAATGTCAAATGCCGAGTGTTGACGACGGAGATGTTTCGTGCTTCATTATTCTCGGGATTTGATTGTGCCTTTCTCAATTTCAAAGTGAAATTACTCACGTTGCGTTCTTTTCAAATATGTTTTATCATTTCTTTACTGTTTTTATTTTTTTACCCTTGAACGGAATTTATTCCCCTTTTTCAATGCCTTTGAACTTTTAAGTATCATTTCTTTTCTGTTTTCATTTTTGCATTTGAATGTGTACTAAAGTCGATTTGAATACAACTAAGTGAAGTCTTCAGCAGAGGATTATTTTCAGGAGTTGCAATAAGTTGAAACGAAAGGCAGTTTTGGTAGGAGCTTATGTATCAGTCATTTATTTCATTCACACTTACACAGCTCAGGTTTTTGTCACAGACCGTGACACATTCACACACACAATCACACACACACGCACACATTACAACAAACTTAACAAGGGACCCATGTCGCCTGGGTCCGGCCCGCCGCAGGAGGTGGGGGCTGATGTAGTTCAGTCTTATCGCGGCGAACCCGCCGTGCACACTGCAAGGCTCATCATCGTCGAGCACCTTATTGGCAGTCGATCACGTTGATGACCTGGTAGGCACCGCAGCCGACCTGGCCGAGGATGTAGTCGGGGAAGTTGCTCTCCAGGATGCGGATGCGCTGGATCTTGTAGTCGGCGGCGACCTGGGTGGCGAGCAGGCAGTTGGGGCTGGTGTACACGACCTGGAAGTTGTCGCTCTTGAAGCAGGTGTTGGTGTCCCAACGCAGGATCTCGCTGGAGCCCTCGTAACGGAAGAACAGGTGGCGGCCGCCGTCGGTACCCAGGAGCACCAGCTTGCTGCTCTTGACGCCGTGGTCGTGCACGCGGCCGGCGGTGCTGCCGGACTGCAGGTAGGCGGTCTTGATGGAGAACAGACGCTGGCTGGACAGGTAGGTGAAGAACAGCACGTTGTTGCCGCACTCGGTGCGGGACAGGGCCAGGTAGAGGACGTCGGTCTTGCCGCAGCCCAGGGTCACGGCCTTGGGGAGCACCAGGCGGTAGCCGCGGCCGGAGGTCACGTCGTAGACGATGATGGAGCGGGTGGCGGCGTCGGAGATGTACAGGAAGATGCGGCCGTCCTTGGCGTAGTCGACAACCAGGTACTGCAGGCGGCTGGCGGCGCAGGTCAGGGAGGACAGGTCAACGGACTTGACGAGTTTGCCGGTCTTGACGTCGAAGGCCATGACCTTGGGGCTGCAGCGGCGCACGGGCTGCTCCAGGGTGTTGACGATACCGGCGTCCAGAGCCCACAGGATGTTGGCGGAGTCCAGGAAGATGTCGACGACGGACTGCAGCTGGTCGCAGTTGCCCTCCTCCTGCACGGCCCAGCAGGGGAAGGGGGTGAGCTCGGCCTGGCAGCCGCGGTGCTTCAGGCTGACCTTGACGAGGGTGGCGGGGACGCCGGGCTTGAAGCGGGGCAGCGCCAGGAAGGCGTCAGTGCCGTAGATCTGGACGCGGGTGGCGATCACAGACTTGGGCACGTAGCGCTTGGACTGCTTGTAGATGTTCTTGGTGGAGACGCAGGGCCAGACGAAGGAGCCGCCGATCCACTGCACGGCGGGGGAGGAGCGGGGAGCCACGGCGGTCTGCTGCTCAGCCGAGTCGCCACCCTGGAAGGCGGGGGTCACGGCGCCGGCACAGCGTGCGCAGTTGCAGGTCATGGCTGAAGCGTGGGCCACCACCACGGCCAGGCCGAGCGCGAGCAGGAGCGCGCCGCGGATCGACATCCTCACACCTGGGGGCAAAGGGCGAAGCGCAACGTCAGTCAAGTGGCGCAGGTCAAACATGGGCACTACGCTGGTCAAAAGCATTTGCACGACGGTGGTCAAAAACATTGCACTACGGTGGCCCGAAAAAATGTGCACTACGGTGGTCAAAAATTGCACTACAGCGGTCAGAAAATAGCACTACGTAGGGTGACCAGATAAAATGTGGGGTCAAAAAATAGCGCCGTGCCGGTCAAAAATGCACTACGGTGGCCAGAAAAAATCTGCACTACAGTGGTCAAAAATTAGCACGACGGTGGTCAATCAAATTACGAAGGTTATTGGTGAAAAATCAAAAATCACTATGTTGATATCTCTTGATGAACTGAAAGCACTTTAAACTCTGTTCTATCGCGGAAAACACACTTACAAATCACGCACTTATCAGTCTCGGTCTCGAGCCTAACCTAACACACGCGCGTTTCGATCCGCGACGGCGCTCGTTCGACTTACCTTTTGTATGTCTGTCGTGAGAAAAGTGTAGCCGGTGGAGGAGGTCGTGCTGTTCTGGCTCATGGCGACACCATTGCTGGCGTTTTATACCTCGCCACCCTACGCCCGCCGCGCCGCCGCCGCCGCGCTCGCCGACAGCAAACACCGCGGCCCAAATTCGCGGCAGTGCCGTCGACTAGCCGCCCCACCCCCACCCCTGCCTCGGCCCTCGGCCTGCCTCGCATCTCCGGGGCGCCCCGCTCGGCCCCAACGCGCCGACGACGGACAGCCGGCCGGCTCGACGGCGGCGGGCACCCCGGTGGCGACCGGGGTGCTTGAGTGCCCCGTTGAGTTGAACGTGCCGTCGCCGAGGTCCAGTTGGATGCGAAAATGCCCGGTCCACCACGACTCGCACTGTAAACTAGGATTTTAGGAAGAGGATCAACAAGAAGAAAACAAGAAAAAACACTGCCCCAGGCGAGGCACGAACTCGCAACCCCGGCATCGCTCACAGACACTGTCGTATAAGTACCGTGCGCTAACCGATTGCGCCACTGGGGCTGGTGTAAATTGCCACAGTTTTCATGTCTACATTTTCGAATTCTTCAAACTAGGGTCAGAAAAAATGTGCCCCAGGCGAGGCTCGAACTCGCAACCCCGGCATCGCTCACAGACACTGTCCTATAAGTACCGTGCGCTAACCGATTGCGCCACTGGGGCTGGTGAATACTGCCACAGTTTTCAAGTCTACATTTAAGAATTCTTCAAACTAGGGTCAGAAAAAAATGTGCTCCAGGCGAGGCTCGAACTCGCAACCCCGGCATCGCTCACAGAGACTGTCGTATAAGTACCGTGCGCTAACCGATTGCGCCACTGGGGCTGGTGAAAACTGCCACAGTTTTCAAGTCCACATTTTAGAATTCTTCAAACTAGGGTCAGAAAAAAATGTGCCCCAGGCGAGGCTCGAACTCGCAACCCCGGCATCGCTCACAGAGACTGTCGTATAAGTACCGTGCGCTAACCGATTGCGCCACTGGGGCTTCTACTAAATCTGGTTGAGGGAATTCAACTCTTGACCGAAAAGCAGCTCATAAAAGGATATCCTGAAAGAATTCACCATCCTCGCATCGCTCCCTGAATGTAGCACCAGAACACGGCTACTGTGCTACTGGATACTTAGAAATCAATAACAATAATTTTCCGGGCCCACTAAAATTGTACCCCAGGCGAGGCTCGAACTCGCAACCCCGGCATCGCTCACAGGCACTGACGTATAAGTACCGTGCGCTAACCGATTGCGCCACTGGGGTAGATATTTTGCGGCTTTTCTGCGCCGCGATTTGAGTAAATGTCCCACCAGAAAATGTTTCTTCCCCGCCGCACGCTGCGCAGATGCGCGTGTCCCTGGCCCCGTTCAAGACCCTCGTCTCCGCTGTCTCCGCTCGCGACGCCACAGCCGCGTCGATGACGTCAGGCGTGGCTTTCTTTCCAGCAAGTTCCGCCGGGCCGCTGCCCTGCCGCGCCGTGTCGCCAGCCCCGGGGGCGCAAAAGGGTGGCAAAGGCAGTGGGTTCGTGGCGTCCTCGGCGTCCTGGCGGCCGCCTGGCGGGTAGGCAGCCAGCGGCACGGCGGCGCAGCTCGAGATGCATGCCGCGCCCGAGGGGGTGGGTGGAGGGGGGAGGGGGAGGGGTGGGGGGAGGGGGGTGCTGGAGGGCGGGAGGGCGGGAGTGGGGACGGAGAGGCGGTGCAACGACCACGACGACTACCGAAAACCACGTGCGTCCCCCACCATCCTTCCGGTGTGACTCTGGTCCCGCTCTCCTCCCCTGGCCCGGAGACTGCACGGCCATGGCCGCGCCGCGCTCACGACGCGTGCGGCGGGGCGGGGCGGGGCGGGGCGGGGCGGGGCGGGGTGGGGCGGGGCGGGGCGGGGCGGACAGACGCCCAGCGCCAGGCCACGCACGCCCCAGCGGCCGCGGCGAGGCGACCTAGTTCCGCCGCCTCACCTACTTGCAGCACAATGTGCAGTGTCAGGGAGGGTGGTCGGCCCGACCCGGGCACGCTGCTCGCCGAGCCGGCCGATCGCCGGCCGCGGCTGGCGATACAGAGATTCTGCGTGGCGAGCGACCGACATCGGGCCGCGGTGGCAGTGGCGGAGCCAGGCGGCGCCACATCCAGAGAACCAGTGGCGGAGCCAGGCCGAGCCACATCCAGAGAGCCAGTGGCGGAGCCAGGCCGAGCCACATCCAGAGAACCAGTGGCGGAGCCAGGCCGAGCCACATCCAGAGAACCAGTGGCGGAGCCAGGCCGAGCCACATCCAGAGAACCAGTGGCGGAGCCAGACCGAGTCAGGCCGAGCCACAGCCAGTACCAGGTGTAGAGCAACGCATCAAATTTTTGAGTGGCGGTGAAGTGAGACGTGAAGGGGAGCAAAAGACCAGACCAAGAACAAAATACAAAAATAAATTGTGGAGAAAAATGTGGCGAGAGAAAAAGTGGCGCGCGGATGGCCTGAAGAAGGGTGCTTGACACCTGCAGGAAAGTTCGGGACGTCGGCGTGACCTATTCATAAAATTGGTCCATGCACAACAAAGGAAATTCACCCCTCCGGAAGGAGTCCAAGGGTGGAAACCACACATGCACACCCTCGAAAGCAGCGACACATGTGGTCCACGGCCCCGGCTACGCCGCGCATGCACTCTCGCAGACGCACGCCCACACACACTCAGACACATGCACCCACGGACGCGCGCACACACACACAGTCACGCACACACATACACACACTCACTCACTCACGCACTTACACACAGGGACATTAGCTCGACCACACACTCACACACACACACACACACACACCGAGAAAAAAGCGCGACTCTCTCTCACACACAGGTATCCGATTTTCGTTTGTATTTCTGCGCTGCTCACGCCGGCCGACCGTCTCTTTATTTCATGACATGGTCCGGCGCCGGTTTTGGACCAGAGCCCCGCTTGGCTGCGGCCGCGCCACGATGCCTCCACCCCGAGAGCGCCCCTCGGGGCCCCGGAGTGCTTCGTCTCGTCCGCCCACTGTTTGTTGCATTTCGCGGCCCACGACGCGGCCCCGCGACGCGCCCCGCCGTCGGCCATGGCTGCACGGCAGGGAGGGTGCTGGGGAGGGGGGCGCCGCGGCGGCCGGGCGGCGGCGGTAGGTAGGTCATATTAGCCGTCAGAGTTAGCCCCGGTATAAAAGAGTCCAACAACGGCTGAAGTCAGCCACTGCCCCGCCAACACTAGTCTTCATCGGATCAGTCAAAAGTTAAAACAGGTAAGAGTGCGTGCCGCGTCTCCGTGGCGCTGCCAGTGATAAGTGATAGTGCTTCAAGACAGTGAACAAGTGCGTCCGAGTCGTGCGTGCGCGCGCGCGCGTGTGTGTGTGCGTGTTTGGTAGTGAATGTGTGAGTGAACGTGTGAGTGAATCTGTGAGTAAACGTGTGAGTGAACGTGTGAGTGAACGTGTGAGTGAATCTGCGAGTGAGTGTGTGAGTGAGTGAGTGAGTGAGTGAGTGAGTGAGAGTGAGTGAGTGAATCTGTGAGTGACTGTGACATCAAAGTCCGAGTGAAAGTGTGAGTGAATGCGAGTGAATCAGTGAGTGATTGTGTGAGTGAATCTGTGAGTGACTGAGTGAGTTAATCTATGAGTGATTGTGTGAGTGAGGTGAATGCGTCAACGAGGGGTGGACAACAATCAGAAACTAGCTTGGTGATCCCCAAATTTCAATTTAACCATTTATACTATAAAGTCTCTTGTTCCCTTGCTTCATTTTTGTCAGTTAAAATTTTAGCTCGTCTATAACCATTTTTTCAATTTTTTTGGCCCCCCTTTTTTTGACGGAATTTAATTGTTTCATTGCCACCGGCTTTTCTCGGCTCACCGACCGGTCGTTTTCCCTCTCGTACAAAATGTTGCATTTGAGAAAACGGTCTTTTCTAACAAACTTGGCGTTCCGTTGTTCCAGAAAAATGAGGCTCTTGTTGGCGTGTGCCCTGGTCGCGGCCTGCGCTGCTGCCGCATCCGCTTCCTGCGACAAGGAGCTCCTCAACGAGCTGTCCGTGTACGTCAACGGCAACAACATCAACTTCCCCTGCGCGTCCACCGAGAAGATCTACAAGAAGTCCGGCCTGTACATCCCCAAGAACATCATCGCCACCCGCGTCCAGATCTCCGGCTCCGACGTGTTCGTGGCCACCCCCCGCTTGCGCGAGGGCGTGCCCTTCACCCTCTCCAAGCTGAACCTCAAGGACAAGGACTGCGCCCCCACCCTGGTGCCCTGGCCGTGCTGGTCCCAGCAGGAGGAAGGCAACTGTGACGCCCTCCAGTCCGTCGTCGACCTGTTCCTGGACGTCAACGACATCCTGTGGGTCCTCGACGTCGGCATCGTCAACACCCTGGACAACCCCATCCGCCGCTGCGCCCCCAAGGTCGTCGGCTACAACATCAAGACCGGCAAGCTGGTGAAGAGCATCGACCTGTCCGGCCTGGTGTGCGCCTCCAGCCGTCTGCAGTACCTGGTCGTGGACTACACCCCCGACGGCAAGTGCTACCTGTACGTCTCCGACGCCGCCACCCGTGCCATCCTGGTCTACGACATCACCGCCAACCGCGGCTTCCGCGTCGTGCTCCCCAAGGCCGTCCTCCTGGGAGGCGCCAACCGTGACGTCCTGTACCTGGCCCTCATCCGCCGCCCCGACAACAACAACCTCATCGTCTTCACCTACCTGTCCAGCTGCCGCCTGTTCGCCATCAAGTCCTGCAACCTGCGCCGCGGCTCCGTCAACGGTGTGGTCGCCGACGTCGGCCCCAAGAACGGCAAGATCGTCATCCTGGGTACCGACGGTGCCTCCAACCTCTTCTTCCGCTCCAAGGGCGGCTCTGACATCTACATGTGGAACGCCGAGACCTGCTTCAAGCCCGACAACTTCCAGCTGGTGCAGCACGGCAACGACTGCCGCCTGGCCACCCAGGTCGTCCCCGGCTACAAGAGGCTCATGTGGGTCATCGAGTCCAACTTCAACGACTACATCCAGAACCAGGTCGGCTGCCTGGGTGCCCAGGTCGTCCTCCACCCCCTCGTCAAGTCCTGCGAGGACTGAGAGCTCCCTGTCGTCCTGGC